TTCTCTAATACTTTCATGTGCTATTCAAAAAGTAGTAAAGGTTCAAGTAGCTAGAACCAAGCACTAAGGGTCATTTCTCTCATGGAACAACATGACCAAGTGATATATTAAATTTTGGCATAACAACATGCACTCTTGAATATTAACATTTACACTTGGTTAAGCCCAAACATAATCTTCCTACTTCAATTCTTGCCTTTCTCTAACCCTTTCTTCATTAGTGTTTAGCCAACTCATGCATGCATTTTCTCTTTGGACTTTCATCAAACACTTCATATGCACATGCAACTACCATGTTGGCTACACTTCCACAACTCTCTAATCCCACCAAATTGTGAGCGAAAAACTCACTAACTTTAGTATCAAACCTGGCCAAGTTCAACAATCTCTACACTTCCAAAATTTCATCACTAATTCTTCCATAATTCCACCAATTCAACACATAACCATACACTACTTCTCATGGCTGGAAATTATGCATCATTAAACATAAAAAAACAGCCAATAATTCTCTCATACCATCATATACAAACATGCAAAAATTCATTCAATACAAGTCTTGCTCAAATCAATGCTAAAATTAGGGTTTACTTACCTTGAATAAGTGAGATCACTTCCTTTTGCTAAAAACTCTCTTCCTCTTGGACCTAGATCATGTAAAAACCATAAGAATTTAAAACTTTAAAGTTTAATCACACTCAGTTTGCTAGAATCTTATCTTAGGATGCTTTAGGATTGAAAATCTCCAAAAATCCAAGCCAAATCCTATGATTTCCCTTTGAAATTTAATGAAGAAAATTGAGAGAAAATGGGGTAAAGGTGGCGTGAACAAGGGCTGAAGGTATGTTAGGGTTTCTTCAAGTTATATCAAATAATATAATCATGTATTCTCATTTTGCCCTTGCACTTTCTATGAAATTTCATCTATATCCTCAAGTCAATTATCAAAATACCCTCACCTTTATTATCTTCTTCACATTATTTTGCTTCCTTTCACTTCCCACTTTTTCATCTAATTATGAGTGAAAAGACCATTTTACCCCTAATGAAGTTTTAAGGAATTTCCTTCACATTTGTCTAAGGTAACTTCAAAGAAATCCAACTAAGGGTATTAGGGCATAAATAAAATTACGTACCTTGATGTGGGTGTTACAGACAGGTTCAAATATTTTGATGCAACAAGCTAAACTATTTGTGTGTGCCAATGGGAAGGATAAACCTCCAACTTCTATTGATCTTGACAAAACATTGTTGAGAGACTACTTGTTCAATCAAAGTTCAGCTAAGGTATGTTTCTAGTAGTTCAAAGTAGGCCAACGTTTGGTTCAGTATTCTATTAATTGTTTTGGTCATATTTTTAAAATACGCGTTTGACACATTATTCAGGGAATCAAATTTTAAAAATTTGATTCCTGACTAATCTGATTTAGGCGGCGTTGCAGTTTACTTTTTTTTTTCCTTCTTTCTTATTTTCTCTCCTTCAATTTATCTACGGCTTCCATCTTCTTCTTCAAAGATCAGAACCAGCGACCGCCACCTTCTTCTACATTTCTTCTTCAAAAATTACAACAGAAACCGCCACCTCTTCCACGTTACAACCACCATAACACCCTCTTCCACTTGCATTCAAAAACACCACCCAAAAACACGTTATTCTGTCGCTTAAGACTCAAGAAACACCACCATCTTTCGGTTTTCTCCGACAAACCAAGGCTAGCAGGTATGGCCACGATCACCCTCTCTCCCCCCACAAAAATTGTATCAATAAATCCTTTATAAAAAAAATATACTAAATAATTTTTCTACAATTTATTCAACTCTAATATACTATCCTAAATACTTTACCAAACATCAAATCATATTCTCGTAATAATAACCCAACTAAATACTCTACAAAACACATTTTTTTCAAATCTTATTCTCGAAATAATAACCCAACTCAACTTTACAATAATATTTCAAAAATACTACTCAAAATAACTAAACAAACGCACTTGGTATGTTAATTTCCAGGATGTTGCATTAGCATCAATATCAGTGAGAGTAATCCCATTTGCACTAGTTGTAGAGAACCTGTCTCTTACTGATAACAACTATGGCTTCATCTAGCGGTTTTATGTAAAAACACTGGAGGATTTTGCGATTCCAGTGTGTTTGTAGGATACAATGATAAACTCAAATCCTCCAGAAAATGTTTTCCAGCTTAAAGGCTCTGATCGTGCACCATTTTTCTCAAGGCCATAGGCACTTCACAGGATATTACTAGAGATATCAAATATTCCACTCCCCTGAAGCCAGGGTTTAGAGGTCCAAGCTACATATACCTAATTGTTGATCCAGGATTGCTAACTACAATCGCGGGCAGTCTTAATGTGTCACGTATATATACAGACACACACACACACACACACACACACACACACACACACACACACACACATATATATATATATATATATACATATCCTGAAAAGAGTTAATGACTGTCATTAACAATCCTCTTAAACATATAATTAAGGAGAATTACAAAACTTGATAAATGACATTTGTTTATAAAGTTAAGTAGCTGATAATGATATTCTATCTCTCTACAAATGTATACATTCTAACTAGAAAAAGTAGTAAAACGACTTTGCCATGGTTTTTAATTACCAAAAAATATTTAATTAAAAGAATAAACGACTTTTACCACCCAAATAATCGCTTAATGAAATTTTCCCACTATCAAACTTTTAAAATACCATTTTATTATCTAAATTTATATTTCATTTCTGATTCTAGCATCGTTGCAACCCATACCACCACCATTCTCTTCTCCGATCATCACTCACCAAAACCCCTCAAACCCTACTGTCATCGACCCTGTCAATCTCTAACAATCGAGTGATTAGGGTTTGCGCAGCCACCCCTCCCAAGTCAAATTCTGATTAATCATAACCACTAAAATCCAACCTTCCACCACCAAAAGACTCATCGATCTCCACTCTTCAAAAGCCCTAACAGCCTGAACCGAATTTGTTGTCTGTTCGCCACCGAAATATAAATTTGGGTAGTAACATGATATTTTAAAAGTCTGTGAGTAAGAAAGTGTCATTATTTGGATGGGAAAAAGTCATTAACTCTAATTAAAATGTATACATATATGTCAACTCTAGTTTTTTTTTTTCATTTTAACCCATTTGAAACCTTGACACGCTACCTATTTAATTGAAAACATTTAATTATTTATTAGAATGTACACAAAATACGAACACTTTTATATACACTATATGTTAGAATATGTCAACTAATGGCTAAAATGGAAGGTATTGGATAATTCTTCAAAATGTGAGGCGAGGATAATTTTTCAAACATTTGAGATGTGAGTGACTTAAACATTAATGTCATGGGTGTTTTTAATACTTTCAAAATAATATAGATGAATTAAATATTAATTGATCTCAGAGGGTGGTAAAAAATACATTATATGATAGTATCTGTCAACTAACGGCTAAAATGGGAGGTATTGGATAATTATTCAAATGTTGGGGTTTGAATAATACGTAATGTGGAACATAATCAAGAATAAAAAACAGACCTTTCGAGACAATATAAATAAGAAGTGAAGGTGGAGGAAGATTGAGAAAGACTTGGTACCTAAATTGGCCGACTAATTTTAGTACAGTAATAATCATATTGTACCAAATACCAATCCTATCCCTCAATTATCTCCAATTTATTTTATTAATATAGACACCTCAAATTATATATTATCTGTAATGATTTTGTTTGTCTTATACCATCCAAAGATTCTCAATCTAGATACCTATTCCTTGTTATTTAATGAGCTTATATGTAACATATGCTCATTATTAATCATATTTTGTTTTACGTTTCAAACATTATTATTTAATTTTAATTTTGTTGAGATGTATTTTAATGTGATTTATAGGGTTCTATTTTATTTAAAATATATTTAGCTGAAAATATTTTGATATTATTGTTTTTAAATATAATATTAACATAATTGAGAGGTATTTTAGTCAAATCCTAATCCCCAAGTAATTATTAAAATCTAATAATTTCGAAAAAGATGAGATGATGGACAGTCAAATCGATATCTTCAACCATCAAAAGTTCAAAACCCTATCCAGAATTAGCAACTCTGGAATTGTTCTAATTTTCTTAATTAAAATTAGAAAAATAATAATTAGTTAAGAAGGAAAAATAAGTGATGGCATTGATACACCATACACGTGAAATGCCATCTGAGCAGATCCATCCACCGCTACTTCCTGCTTAAAACGTAAGCTACATTTTCCACTCCACTTTTTATTCCTTCCACTACCCTTCACCTCTCCCACCAAATACCTACGTCGTTGTATTTTCATTAACGGCTTTTTTCCACTTAAATAATAGTTTAATGACATTTTTTCACTCATAAATTTTTAAAATATCACTTCATCATATGAATTTATATTTTGATTACGATCAAAGAGTAAACTCGGTCTAAACTATTACGGTTTTTAAAGAGTGAAGGTCGATGAGTCTTTGGTGGTGAAAGGTTGGATTTTAGTGGTTTGAATTTATCAAATTTTGACTTGGGAGGGATAACTATACAAACCTTAATCGCTCGATTGACAGGGTCAACAAGAGTATGGTTTGAGGGGTTTTAGTGAGTGATGATAAAAAATGGTGGTAGTAACAATGCTGAATTCGGAAATAAAATATAAATTTGAATAATAAAATAATATTTTAGAAGTCTATGGATAAGAAAGGTGACGAAGACATTATTTGAGTTAAGAAAAAGTTTTTTACTGTTTTAATATACCCTAAGCTTTCATAAGATATTTATAACACCCCTAACTATTAATAAATCAATTCAATGGTATATAATAAGATGACAACCGCATTTGAACGGAAATCCAAATTTGGTACATAAGGTAAGATTGTTTAAAATTAGTTTTAACCTAAAAATAGGAACTTTGGGAAAAAGCAAAATCAGTTGTGGATATATCACTATCCTTTAAAATAAAAAATCTTTACACTGTACGCTGTCACCATCTTGTGCTTTCTCCATCTATAAAATGCACCGAGCAGACATCGCTTTCGCTCACTGGCTCTGTGGCACTCTTTCTCTTCAGATCTGATCCAATCAGCCAGCAAGCAGCAACCACGGTGATCTCTTCTTCTTCTTCTTTAATTTCTCGTTTTAACGACTTCATTTCTCTTCTTTTACTCTACTATTTAATATTCTGTAAAGAAGTGATTTCCCTTCTTTTTTTTCTTTTTTTATTTATTTAAGATCTGTTTGTGACTTCCTTCACTGTGAATGAAGGTTTGCTTTGGTTTTAATGTTGTGTATCTCTTGTTTTATTCATTTTTTCCTTTTATAAATTTGTATCTTAAAGTTGGAGTAACCATGAGACTTGTTCGTGTTCTTAGTTTCTTTATGCTGATTAATTGATGTACTTATGTTAATTCTTATCCCATTAGATCTCGTTTATATTTGGTAGATATATAATTTGGTGAGTGTGCAGGCAGTGATTGAAGTTTATGTACACGTTTTACTGCTTGTTTGCTTAATCCTCTGAAGCTTCAATAATCAGTTAGTTACAAGTGTAATAGTGCTCATGAAGAAAAGAATAAGCTTCTTCTTATCGAAATAATAGTAAGCTTCAATTTCTAGGTTCGAATTTTAGTTTAGAAAGAACTAAGAGCATGAAAGGTGTAAAGAAAAACTAGTTTTTCTTATATATCCAAGAATCCAATAGTTGGAAACATCATTCGTACTTATATAAAGTGTGTGCCTCATGGATGCTTTTTGAGGCAATTTATTTGGAATGAAATTGAGGCAGACATTGAAACACTTTAGATACAGCTGATTTTGGTCAGAATGTGTTTCTATGATATCTTAAATTGTAGACTTGGATTGGCTTGTGGAGTCTTAGGGATAAAGTTGTTTGTGCACAGCCTTCAAGGCTTTTTTCATTTAGTCATCATTTAATGTTGAATGGTACAATAACAGGAAAGGGACTGATTTCTGCAACGAAGTGTAGTTGCTCTCTTAGTGGCTAGAGATTTTGTGATCTTTTACGTTCTTGCTTTTTCTATGAAGATTTAATTGGATTCTTTTGTTTTTATGTAATATGCCTGGAAGCAGGGTTGGGAGTATTTGCCTTTGAATTAAGAGAGCATGGGTCGTGGAGTTAGCGCTGGTGGGGGGCAGAGTTCATTGGGATATCTGTTTGGTACGGGAGAGGCTCCAAAACCTGCTGCAAATGAAGGGCAGTCTGTAGATAATGGGCCTTCCAAGCCTGCTGCTGCTCCTCAACCTGTAGATATTACCAAACAGGTTCCAGCTGGTATCAATAGTTACTCAACAAACAACTATATGCGGGCTGATGGTCAGAACACTGGCAACTTCATCACGGTAAAGATATTTGTCAATTTTGACTTCATGTCTTCCCTTTGCAAATTGAGTGATGTTTGCACCATTCGTCTGCAGTGTTTCAGGGTGGAATAGTTTGCATAGATTTATCAAATCTTGTTCTTATTTTTTATGAAGAGTAGACTGCTGTGCCAATGAGTGAGAGTTGAAGTTAATTGGACTTGTTTGTTGTCTCGGTCATAATAAAAGTAGGGTTTTGAACCTTGGCAAGTGGATACTAATTGTTGTTAGGAATCATTTATACCTTCAGAGAGAATAGAATCCTTCATTCAAGGAATGATGAATATCATTTGTCTGGTGGACTATGATGCTCGGATCATTTTTAGCTGAAACAGACTTTGTTGTTACAAAGCTCTGAATTTTGTGCAGTTTGAGCTTGTGATCTTTTGAATAGGCTACAAACATGTTTTAGATTCATTAATTGCTGAAGTTAAGACCTTTTCTTTAAACATATTGGTTATATATAAGTGAGACTAAATAAGAACTGTTATTCTCTTTTGCAAATTGCATGTTTACCTATAATGGTCTAGGAAGTTTAATTGGCCCAATTTGAGCTGCAATGTCTATCTAGGCTGAAAAAGAATGGAACATTGCATGTACTTTTATAACCTGAGCTAGTGAGTTAGGAGAGAAAATTGATTAAGACAAGAACTAGACGTCTTTGGGTACCAGCTGAGGGAGCAAATGTGTCCTTAAATTGGGAATGAGTTGAAACTCATTCTAAATGATGTACATAGATATATCATTTGCTCAGTAATGCCTAATAAAAAAAAATGTCTTGCCCTTGGCATTGTGAAAGTGGAAGAAGTTTCTCAAAAGAATGTTGTTGAATAGTTTGTTAATCAATTTTATTTAGTTTACTTGTTTATTGTGGGACTTCAGTGTTAAGTGAATCGTAGCTTGAGAGCTTTACTTCTGTGATTAATAAAAGTAGCTACTTTTATTATGACCCGAGACAACAAACAAGTTGAGGAATGTAGCCACTTGTCTTCATCACTTGAAGTTAATTGCAAGTGATGAAGACAAGAATGTAGCTACTTGTCTTCATCACTTGCACCTGCAGCTTGGCTGAATATGTTTATTATGATAAATGAACTTTTTGTCTGTTTGCAGGACCGACCATCAACCAAGGTCCATGCTGCCCCTGGTGGTGGGTCTTCTCTGGGTTACCTCTTCGGTGGTGGGCCTGCAGGTGGCAGTAAATGATACATGTCTTGACGTCTCCATAAGAAGTATTGTTTGTTGATTCTTGTTGAACTTAGTTTGAATGAGGCATGCTCTCATATTTACGTAAAACAGTTTGAAGTATTGGATATTGTGATGTAATATATAGGTGTTGTGGTTGTTTGCATATTCAATCGAAGTGTACTCTCAATTTTCTGATGTGTCATTTACCCTGTATCACTGGTGTAGTCTTTGGACATTTTGTCTGTTCCTTACAAGCTTTTAGTTACAAAATTCGGTTGTAAATAGTCATCCCAGACATAGTTTCTAAAGAACATTCAAATTATGCTCTGTATCTCAAGAACTTGAGCAAAATCTAGCCTACTTTTAAGGAGGAAAAAGATTACCTCTATGGACGCCTGACCATTTAGATACCATTACAATTAAAACCTTCAAATTCAAATTGTAATTTCTTTACTCAAAACGAACACCTTAACTCACGACTATGAACTTCAATCTACCATTGGCAATTTACTTGTTATGTGATAGGAACCCACTCCAACCACTCAAAACAAACGAGAAGATAACAACAAAACGCAACCAAGTAGTAAACCCAGAAAACAGCAACGAACAAAGCAAATACACAGAAAGACATTAAATTTATATTGATATTGAGCAAACACTACATCAAAGTATGAACAGCCTAGGCCAAACCAACACAACCAAATGAAAAATAAAAGATAACAGAAACAAAAATCACGTATGCCTGCTGGACTTCGAGGGCCAGCACCTCCCCTAATCTCCCTTTTCACTTTTCTGAATATCCCCTCAATTTCCCTGTCTCTCTCCAAAACAGAATCCCTCGTTTATCCATTCCCCTATTGCCATCTGTCCCTCTTCCAAAACAAACCTTAACACCTCACACTCAAAAGAACTTTCCTGCCAGCCACCCCACAATCCTCTACTTCACTCCCTTCTGTCTCCTACTATACACTAGCATATTTGAGGTCTCATCACTATGAAATCGACATGATGGTTATAAACTTGACCATTGAAGACTCAAAAAGTAAGAAAAAGATGCCAGATGCTACATGGTGTAGTCATAACAATTTAGAAATGAATAGCAGTGTTAATAGACAGCTTGTATTATCCTTGGGAAGATGATAAAAAGGGAACGGAAAAACCTCAATCAAAGCATCTTGGTAAAGGATTTTGACCATATTTCCACCTTATGAATTACAAATATTCCATCATCTTTGCTCTCTTCTCCCCAGTTCATTCCTTGGCACTGCTACACAGCTTTAAAAACCTCAGTGTTGACTTCCTTCTAGTTATATGCTGTTTCACTGCAAATGCCAAATGGGTGGCTGGGCAGGAACTGTTTAAAGTAATTTCTTTTCTTTATCAGATATTCGTTTGGCCACATGAATTCTCACTGTTTTCCAGATGGTTGGCCTGCTCATCCTTAATGGAAACATTATATTACTGTCCTAGGGTCTAATTGGAATGAATTTTAAGCACCAAACTGCAGGGATTTACATATGTTCCAGGGACTGGAATCAATTCTGGCTTGGGACTACAAGGCTACAGCTCTAGTGTGCGACTGTTTTGAAGAGAGTTTTATGACGGTGGACGGTGGTAGTGAACTGAGATAATATCAATTGTCAAAACGAACTATTAATAGATATTCAGAGCTTTATTTGTTCAAAAGTATACAATTTATTCTACTAGTTTATAGACTCAAAATTGCATTTTCCTGGAGAAACAAAAGTATTTTGACAATCAAACAGCAAGGCTAAGATGTTACAAGGTATCCATTTACCTAACTAGTCATGCACCATTCTTTCTCGGAGCAGCTGGAGCAGGGGTTATCCCCCACGTCCTTCGAACATCCTCCAAATCCTCGTGAAAATGCTGCTCATAATATATACACATGAGATCCGTGCACTGCATACCAGCTCGGATGGCCCATGGGAAGTAGTGTTGGAAGAATAGTGTCCTTTGCTTCTCGTTAAATCTTGCAGTGCCTCCGATAACTGAAAGCATACACATGGGAAGGTACATTTGCTCGAACTCTATCACTTTGAGGGCAGACTCACCAATCAAGTTAGTTGGAAGGTCAAAAAGGGTGTGCCAGAAATCATGCACCTCACGAGCACGCATAGCCACATAAGCTAGTTCATCTGTGTCCATGAACCGCACAGGTGGTCGATCATCTGGAGAAAAGTTCCTGGATCCCATGAATCTAGCATATGCAGCACCAAATGTGTTTGGTGGTAGATCCCATGCATGCCCAACTTTTGTAGATATAACTCGTGGCCGCTCCAAGAGTATCGCCTACCAAAAAGAAGAAACGCATTGGTCACTTACAAGAAAAGCAATCTAGTCAATTTCAATTGTTATTCATAAGACACTTGCACCTAAGAAGAGGGATAAAAATTGGCCAACAAGATAGTATCAGAAATAACCCCAGTTATAGTATTTTCAATGGATGATATTCAGTATTATTCACACACACATGTTACTGTGAGTAGATATGCTTTTGGCTCCAATTTCACCCGAATTTTACAGTAATGAAAAATTAGATTCTCACAGTCACTCTTCTGTGGGGTGATTAAAGTACATGTAACGTGAGGATCATAAGAACAATGCCAGCAAGCAACATGTTTGAGATACATCTTTGGGTTAAAATGAAGCCATATATTGTCCCAATGACATATCATGGATAAATACATAAATACCAACTCCAGACAGACTGTTAAAGAATTTGTTTTCATTTGATGAGATCAACTAAGCATCCTCTCATAACTGATCAAAGATGATAGCTTAGCCATGAATGGATCAAAAGAGTCCATTTATATATGGTTGCACCATCTCATTTATTTCACAGCAGGCATTAGATGTCCTCTACACATTCCAATTTCTTCAAATTGCCCACTGCTCAACCAGGCCCTTTAACTCAAACAATCCAGAAGATTCAATGTTATTTCAGATAAAAGAGAAAGAGAAACAAATTATTTCTCTGGCAAGACTAATTATTCAATTATCTCCCAATTCTCGAGGGGAATAAGCGGTTATTGAAAAGAAGCAACGAAGCACAAAAACAAACTTTAAAATAATCTACAAAAAATTCGCATTTTTAGATTAATTACTCCAACAACATCAAAACAAGTAATTTAACATACAAAACTCATATGTATGAAAATTCTTACATCGCCATTTGTTTAGAAAGCTAATGCTGGATAATCTGAAATGCATAAATGAGATGAACTTACCCTTCCTTCTGGGCTAGTCTTCATTCTTTGAAGAACCCTCTCAAAAGCGGGTTTCCCAGTGGTCTCACCAAGGGCTGCTATTAGATCCGCCCTTCGTGGGTCTAACAACGCACCAACCGCTGAACCAACCGCAACTGCCGCCTGTTGCCACCGGTTCAGCCGAACTCGCCCACCTTCTATCATACTATTGTTGACTACCTTCAACTCAAATCTAACCAAACTAAATTAAACAAAGAAGAAAAAAGGTTTAAATTTTTTGAAAGAATGTAACGAGATTATTCAATTTACCAACCTTTGTCAAAGGGTGGAACGAACTCAAGCCTTGTGAAGCATTTTTACAAACACCTTAAGACCTTCTACGCAAGAAATAAATATGTTGATGCCGGAGTGACTGGCCGTGAGAGTCGTGAGACAGTTGCCGTTAGAAAATATTAGACGGTGTAATGGCATAATTGTCTTTTAATTTTTTACTTTTGTGTTTTCATAAAATATAAATTATCAAATAAAATAGAAAACTAAAATAAAAGTTGAAAAACAAAATAAAAAAACCCACCCCACCCCACGCCCTTGGCACATCACTTCAATAATACACACATCAAGAACTGCCACATTCGGAGATGGAGTGTGATGGTACATGGGTGACTCCTCTTGAGGCGGCTGATTCCAAACAATCGAAGCGGGTGCTGTGGGTTGGGTTGGGAAGGGGGAAAGTGGCGAACTGCAACTGAGTACCGGAGGAGGATTAGGGAAGGGGGAAGCCGCAGGTTTAAGAAGATGGGTAATTTTAGGTAGGGAAGGGATTAGAAGAATAACATTTATTAAAGTTTAAGTCATTTTTTAAATTTCTTTTAAAACTATAATTGTGGTGATATGACCATTCAACCCTCTAACTGTTAATATTCAAGTAACGTCTGTCAAATTTTGGTCACTTCCATAGAGTGTTTTGGTTCATTCAACACTAGCATGGCAATGGGGCGGGGCGGGGCGGGGATCTCATTCACCGTACCCGTCCCTACCCTCAAAATCATTCCCCATCCCCATTACGAGGATGACAGGAATTCCCCTTCCCCGCCCCAAAGGGGAATGTTGAAGGCTCGTCCCTGCCCCATTAATTTTACATAAACATAAATTAATTTGAGTATTACCAAACACAATAGTTAATTCTCGTCCATATGACAAACACTTAAATTAATCGTTTAAACATAATTAATTATACATAAATATGGGTCAGGGTTTGTTCTTGTTCAATTGTTTAGGGTGAGAGAAATTAGGATAATATGGGTTTATATCGGTAGGATAATTATGTAATTAGATAAAATATAGGGATATTAGTGAAAAGTAAATATATATATATATACATTTTTTTAATTGTATACATTATATATGGGGCGGGCCGGGGGAAAGGCATCACCCAACCCCGCCCCATCCCCGAGGACGGGGATTAAAACACCCCCCACCCCCGCCCCTATCCCCGAAAAAACCGAGGCTTCCCCTCCCCATATGGGGCGGGACGGGTCCCCGAAATCTTGGAGAACATTGCCATGCCTATTCAACACCACGTTAATTAATTTCTGTGTGATATTTTTACTTCATTGCTATAACTGTAAGTCTGTAACTAACCGAATTATCCAAGACCAATTAGAGCAACTCCTACATCTACAAAAAAAACTGCTAATCTTCACGGGAGAGGCAGTGGTTTTACTATTTCTCTATGAAATTAAATAATATTCTATATAAATAATGGTATTAAGGTTGGGCTTGTTTACTCTCTGGGCACAAACATGTTGTGTCTTTTTATGAAAGTCCACCACCCCCTATTCATGTCCCAAGTTCGTGCATGGTGGTTTTATTTATACAAGGCCAAGAAAGATTAGGGTCATGTTTTATTGATCATCTTAGCCTTAGCCTGTGTGATTACTCTACCATCTTAATTAATTTCCCTCTGTTCCTGCATGTAACAGTCAACTGTACTGGTAGATGCTTTAACTGAATACTTACAATTAAATTAATACAAATCATATATGTAACAATCTAAATGAATTTCAATCAGTTAAGAGAAGTTTTCACAAATCAAACCATGGCCCTTAGTCCCCATTCTCATTTGAGAGTGTTGATACAAAAATATGCACAAACTAGAGAATTCTGATTGACCCTATCAGAATCAGAATGGATGTACACGTGATTACGAATAACCAGCAGTGGATGAATAATAAATGCAATAAAGTAAATGGCAAAGAGATTTTTAAAGTGGTTCGGCAAGTTAGAACTTGAGCCTACGTCCACTGTTATCTTATTGTTTTTGAGAGCTTACAAAGAACAATATAATTCATAGGAAAATTTGCTTTGAACAATTACCCAGTTCCCTTGAAAACAAGTTTTGATGGTGGAATCAATAATAATGCAAATGAATAGTAGATAAAATTAATTTTCAATGTCATTTGGATGTAAAACATAAATCCTACATCTATTGTTATCTTATTGGTTTTTTTGTGTGTGTTTTGTGAATGTGCAAAGGCTACTTGCTCTCAATTGAGGCAATTGCTTTTAGCTATTAGAGAAATGAAATTTCGAATCTCTTCTTTGGGTGAGAGACCCCTTTATATAGTGTTGTATAGGCGAACTTACTCATGAAACAACCCTTTCATATCATGACATGTGACTTAATAAACTGCCCTTCTGGAGACTTAAATGGTGAAGTCTTATTCACGAAGCAACATATGATAACTTTACAAATAGGGAGTGATTTTGTTAGAAATAAAACTTTTACGTGATTTGGGTGTTTTAACAAAAATCTCTGGGTGTTTTAAGAAAAATCTCAAATGTCAGGGGTTAAATAAATGATTTAAAAAATAATAATGAAAATAATATTATATTAATATTTAAAAAATGAGGATAATTTAGTAATCTATATAACATACTCACTAATTTATTCATCTCAACCAAACATAATATAACATACCTACCAATTTATTTAAACTAACAAAACATATTTTTTTAAACATTTCTAATAATCTTCAAAATAATTTATTTTTCGATTAATATAACATTTTCTAAACTAAACTCACTCATAAAGTAATTATTTTATAATATAACACGTAAGCTAAACAGTTGCAAAGTCATGAAACACGTGACGAGAATCCACGTTCTAGTTGTATAGTTATGAGACACAGGGCGTGAATTAATACTTCATCAATTCACCGCATAACAAATAATCTAAAATTGGTATTTAGAACACAATTCATGATCAAGAAGCAGACGTCCAACGGTCCGAGAATGAATTTTTCACATAGATCAGAAGTAGAGAATGGTGCTCCAAACTAAACATTAAACGGGGTTGCTCTAAAGCCGGAGCTGAGTCGATATTTAGAATATAAATGTGTTAGTGCGATGTGTTTATGATGTAGACTGGAGAATATCTTCTCTTAGCTTGAGCACACAGGTTCTTAAAATACAGGCCACTTAAAACATAATTAGTATATCACATCAGAATTAAACCAAAAAAGAGAGACCACTTCCATTTGTAGTTTCTTTAGAAAACATAAAACTATTTCCAAATATTGGCATCTCTCACCATCATATCCTGTTATCCACACAAGTGGTCACATCCCCAGCTGGAAACATTATTTCTTATCTATACTTGAGTCCCTCATAAGTTTGTTTCACAATTTTAATTTAAAGAAATATGACGGCTATAGGGCGCCCAATTACAGTTCCGATTGAGACTTCGTAAAATTCCCGATCTTCTCAACTTTGCATATTAAATTGAGAACGACATATTCTTCCCCTCGATGAAGAACAAAACCCAGTAGTCTATCACTTGGGCAACATATTATATGTCAGAATCAAATGATAAATAAGAGAGAGGTATTATTTTGCTGTGATATATTTACAAATAAAACACTATGATTAAAAACAATATAATGATATTCCAACTGAGAACATTACTAATTAATTCCATCGAGATTATTAATCTAATAAAAAGTAATATTTAATTAAAAAATTTAGAAGATGTTAAAGTATATGATAAGCTTTTGGATCTTGATCCGATGGTTACCGGTCCTTGGGAGAGATAAATTCAGCCCCCTCGTTTCATTTAGTAGTTTGCAATGCATTGGTATTGGGTATGGAAAGCGAAAGTGTGACTGTGAGCACGCATACCATACCATACCATACCAGAATCCAAAAAAAGTCAACTTTATTAATGAATTGTTGGTTCTGTCTTTTCTTTCCCCTTGATGAAGATGGAGGAGGAGTACCAAAAGCAATTAATGTACGGAAGCGGTTTCAAGTTAGAGAGTGGTTTCGAATACCCAGCTCCCCACGTGGCGATAAATGAGGCCGAGACAAGATTGGGCGGCAATGAATCTCCCAGCTGGAAAGAGGAAGCAGCGGGGTCCATCGTCAACAGCTGTTTTCTGTACAGGGCAGATGGAAAGACAAGAAGCATGCAATTCCAGGGTACGAAAATGAAACCCAAAGCTGTAATTAATAGAGCAATAAATAAGGCATAATAAATTACAAAGATAAAAAGAGATTATAGGGGTTGTGTAGAGTAGTTAATGAATTTTCCTGACATGTAGGGCGGCGATGTAATGATTGCGATACAAAGTTGATGCCAACATCGAAAAAACACACCTCACCAAAGGCTGACGTTCGTATGGTAATTGCCTTGGGGCTGGGTTCGGGTTGGGTGGCTAATAGTAATACCACGTCGTTGTCAGTCTGCAGCAACACACCGGGTATAGCTTCCAGCCATTGGGTATTTGGGTTAATGCTGCTGGCCCGTATACTCGTATCTTGCATGCAGCCTTTGCACGCGGATTTGATGATGAAATATCACCACATTTTACGCAACGAATATTTTCACTTTTACCGCTTTGCCATCACCTTTTTTATTTATCTTCACTTATGCCCTCTCATGTTTCTTATACATGCTCAATTGCTCAAACCATCTATTACCAACTAAATCTTCGACTTATAAAACTATTCTAATATCACGTCATTTTCCTGTCATCCATAAATTAAAAATTTATTATGAAGGCGAAAACAAAGAAGTTATTGCCTACGACAAAAAATTTTGTTTTACGCCAGGCTAATTTTAGATATGGGTTCAAGACCATTACCATGAAAAATACAAAAATATAAAATAAACGTACGGACCAATTGTAAATATTATTTATGTATATATCTCAATTACAGTTGGGTAACCTTATTTGGCAAGTCAAATTATTATATTCTTCTTCCTTTTTTTTAATAACCATAAACTAAAGCGTGTGTTTGGATAAGAGACATATAAGATAATGAGGGATAATCTTCGTTTATTTTACAAGATTCAAGTGTTTGGTTTACAAGTAATAAAATATTATAAGAATCTTTTATTACAAATAATGTTTACTGTTGGTAATATTGGGGGTAATGCGATATACTTTCCCAACCCTAAGATTAAAAGATTACCAAATAATATGATATTTATACCTATAATTCCCTAAATAAATACTATTTCAAAAGCAATTGCCTTCAAATGTCTACCAAATAACAATTAACTCAATCTTTCTACATTTGAGAGATTAGCTAAAACACCTCAGCTACAAAAAGTTTAAAAGTTAACAAAAAACCTTCAGTCACCCAGGACCACCATCGATCGTTACTCACCACCGCTGGCTGTCGACATCAATCGCCATAATGATGCACGACCGGCATGATCTGGTCGGTCGTGTGCCATTAAAGCCTTTCCTAGCCATGCAAAAAACGACCACATCTTATGCTGTGAAAATGGCCATAGATCTGGCTGTGAAACGGCCATGGATTTGTAATCCATGGGCGAAAATGGTTTTGCCGGCGCACGGTCGGCCATATACAGCCAATTGTGTGTCATTCCGTCAACTGCCGACGGTCGTGGCTAGCTATTGGTAATGGCTTGGGGTGGATGGGGCTGATTTTGCTACAAATTAAAGTTTATATGGCTGGGATGTTTTAGTAAAATTTCAAATGTAGCGGGTTAAAAGAATGATTCAAAAAATAATATTATATTCATATTTAAAAATGAGGGCAATTTAGTAATCTATATAATATACCCACATATTTATCCTCCCAACCAAACATATTATTTACCAATTTATTCAAATCAATCAAACACATTTTCTAAATTCTCAGTAATCTTCAAGGTAATCTATTTTTCCATTAATATAACATCCTTTTATAATAAAACATTATATGATCCAACGCCCCTAAAAGATTTTGTTTTGTTATCAAGAGTTAAATTTCATATTACTATACAGACTACGTATACTAAACCATATTTGTCTAATGATAAATTATAATACAATATTGATATACAGCTTAATGAAACTTTCTTTGACCATAACTAGGCGTGGCAATGGGCCCCGAAATTCGAGGGCCCTATCCTAACCCTCCCCGTATGGGGTGGGGATTCCTTTTTTTTGCGAGGATAGGGGCGGGGACATGGAGTGCCCTTCCTCCTCCCCGCCCGATATATAAAGAGTTTGTATTTTGGACAAGTGCAATACCTTAACTTAAGTGTTTCTCATGTGGACGATTCTCCACATTAAAAGAGAATTAATTATTGTGTTTGGTAATTGTCAAATAGTTTTTGTCATGTATTTATTCTCGTAATTAATTCCAATGTAAAAATTAATAAGACGGGGATGGGCTTTGAAAATTCCATGGGGTGGGGATGGGGAATCCCCACCATCCTTGTAAAGGGCACGGGCCGGGGGCAGGGATTGACTACCAACAGCTGGCCACGGCCGTCAACCGCCAGAATGGCGCATGACTAGTTGGATCTGGCCTGTTGTGCGTTAATTCGACGATGGTGGTGACTACTGGCAGGTGATAGTGGGTGAATGTGTTTTTGTTAATTTATAAACTTTAATTGTTAAAGGTAATTTACTAAATATTATGAGTTAATATAATAGTCAATATTAAAACAAACACGTTTTTTATTGGTTTCGTATAATAGGATAGAGTACGAAAAGTGTACTAAACGCAGCCTAATTTATTTATAAAAAATTATCAAGTTAATTGGATTGGAGCAGGTCATATAGTTGAAGTATATCCCAAACCATTTAAAAACTAATTATTAATAAAGCAAAACAAAAATATATAATTCTTTTGTTATCTTGAAGAATCCTGGGTCCAAAGGTTTCCATCCAATAATCTTTGGAATCAAATCCTTAGAGTATCACAACAAAGTATTCACGTGAACTTATCTAATCCATTCATCCCGCCATCATCATACATTATGCATAACATCACACGGCTAACATTAATTTAAATCAAATCCTTAATCTAATTGAGTGGGTTCCCTAGTAATATCAACGAAGTTCCCATTTGCCCACCACGTAGACGTAGTACCAAAAACTGTCTCACGAACTCTGCGTTTTTCCAACACACTGTGCCCGAATCAAAACCAGAAAGCAAAGGACTGCTACGATACCGAAAACGATTCTCCCATTCATAAAGCTAGTCTTGTTCTTTTCACCTCCAGTACGAAAAAAACTATTTTTTTGATCAAATTTAAAATTAAAATTTATATATGTACTTTATAAATTTAAACCAAGGTTAATTTTTTACTGTGGTTAAGCTTTTCTTAAACGGGATTTACACTTTAGTCTTTAAGGTTTAAAGAATATTTTACTTACCTCAGATACTATAGCATATGAACATTTTAGTCCAGTAACAAAAAGTCTATAATACCCTTATTATCTTATTTACAAATTATTAGAAATAAATAAAAATGTGAATAATATAATTATTTATCAAAGTAAAAACAATATAAATAATTAAAAATCCAAATTTTTAAATTTTTAATTATATTTTCATCATTTTTTTAAAATATGTGAGTAAGACAGCAATTTTTTTTTTCATGGAAATAAATTGTTTATATCTTATATTATAGTTCACTAGTACTGGTGCTAAGTTAGTATATTCCAAACCTTAAGGACGAAAATGTAAATAACCCTTCTTCAAACCGCCTTCCACCTTCTATATAACTACTCCTCTCACTCTCTTTGGTTCTTGCGATATCCCAGCCACTCCATCCTTTCCTTGTTCTTTTCCATCAAAAATAGCAACATACTGCTTTCGCATAACTTGAAAGCGGCGTCTGCAGGATGAAAATGTTGCCGGAATACTTGTTTTTCCATTTTCCTCTTGTCAACTTTGAAACTTTTCTTTCGGTTTTATTTTTCATGGCTGTTTTTACTGTTTGGTTGGCTCCAGGTGGTCTCGCATGGGCTCGTTCAAGGACCAGGACGCCGAAATCTCTTCCTGGTCCATCGGGGTACCCACTCATTGGTTTACTCACCGTCTTCACTGGGTCCACACCTCACCGCGTCCTTGCAAAGCTTGCTACAGCTTTCAAAGCTGTGCCACTGATGGCTTTTTCAGTGGGGTTGACTCGGTTTGTTATTTCAAGTGAACCAGAGACTGCTAAAGAGATTCTCAATAGTTCTGCTTTTGCTGATAGACCGGTTAAGGAGTCGGCATATGAACTGTTGTTTCACAGAGCAATGGGTTTTGCTCCTTACGGTGTGTACTGGAGAAATCTTCGGAGAATCTCAGCCACCCACCTGTTTAGTCCCAAAAGAATCGCTGGCTTTGAAAGTTTTAGACTTGAAATTGGTCTTGAAATGGTGGAGCAAGTCAAAACTTTTATGTTTGAGAATGGTGAAGTAAAGATTAAAAATTTGCTTCATTTTGGGTCTCTTAACAATGTGATGATGACTGTATTTGGTAAAAGGTATGATTTTGAGCGTTCTGATGAAGGGTTTATGCTTGAGGAGTTGGTGAGTGAAGGGTATGAGTTGCTTGGAATATTCAACTGGAGTGACCATCTCCCTCTTTTGAGGTGGCTGGACTTGCAAGGTGTGAGGGGGAGGTGCAGAAGTTTGGTCTTGAAAGTGAATGCATTTGTTGGAAAGATAATAGAGGAGCATAGATTCAGAAGGCTTCATGGTGTTTCGCATGACAAAAGTTCTAGTGTTCGTGATTTTGTTGATGTCTTGCTTGATTTGGAGAAAGATGACAAGCTAAGTGATTCTGATATGATTGCTGTTCTTTGGGTACGTTTATAATCTGTACTTTATGCTTATCTTCTTTATATTTGTGTCTGCCTGTTCGGTATTTAATTTTTTTGGAACTTTGCAGGAAATGATATTTAGAGGAACTGATACTGTGGCCATTATGCTTGAGTGGGTTCTTGCAAGAATGGTGTTGCATCCTGAAATTCAATCTAGAGCTCAGGCTGAGATTGACGCTGTTGTTGGGAAATCAAGGCCTGTGTTTGATTCCGATATTCCAAATTTGCCGTACCTTCAAGCCATTGTGAAGGAGACTCTGAGGGTGCATCCTCCAGGCCCTTTACTCTCATGGGCTCGCCTTGCCATTCATGATGTTCATGTGGGGGATAGCTTTGTCCCAGCAGGAACAACGGCTATGGTCAACATGTGGGCCATCACTCATGATGAGAAGGTTTGGTCACAGGCAGAAAAGTTCAAGCCAGAGAGGTTTATTAACGAGGATGTAAGCATCATGGGGTCTGATTTGAGGCTGGCTCCTTTCGGGTCTGGCAGGAGGGTTTGCCCTGGAAAAGCAATGGGTTTGACTACTGTTCACCTCTGGTTGGCTCAGTTTCTCCAGAGTTTCAAATGGGTTGCTGCCTCTGAAGTAGACTTGACCGAGTGTTTGAAACTTTCCATGGAGATGAAGAAGCCTTTGGTTTGCAAAGCCATTTCTAGGTTGGCCTGAAGAATGAAGATATGCATAACAGGATATATAGTTAGGGTTTGCTGTTCGGGGTGTGTTAAGAGGTTAGAATACGTTTTATTTTGAAAAAATGGTGATAGGATTTTGGGGTCTTAATATGCAGAAAAATGTCCTAAGCTTAATTTGTAGTAGTTTTTAACTTTCTCTGGTAAGATTAAAATAGGGTCTAATCTTAAATTTCTGTTAACTTCTTGTGCATTGTACACAGCTTTTGTGTTATTAATCTTGGAAAGTTAGAATGAAAGTAAGTTTTATGTAGTTATCATGTTTTAATTTTGTTAAATTTAACGAGGAAAATAAAATAGAAAAAGTGACAATTGACAAAGCATCAGGACAGTTGGAGTTTTGAGGAAAGAGAGTTGTGGTGGATATGAATATTGAATAGTGGATGAGAATCGAAAGACATATCCATCTATATGGAAAAGACTGGTGGTTACCCTGACTTCCTCCCTTTGTGCCGTCGGATTAGCTTATTTTACAAGCCATGCAGGCAAATAATAACTCTTTTCAAATGCTTCTTTAATGGCTATATTAAATTAATTAATTTAATGCGTATAAGCTGAGTTGGTTGTTTTGTTCATTTGATGTTGAAAGGACTGTTAGCCACGTCGCTCTCACTTGGATTTCTCATTTGAGATATTTTACTCCATACCATTACCAACCTTTCTTTTGTTTTTTTAGTTGGTTAGGATAATTACATCTAAATATTATGTTTAATTAAATTAGTTACATTCAACTTATTACCGAAATTCCTACTTCTTTTTTATTTTTTTTAAATCACTAGGAAGTTTTCGTGTATATTTCAAATAATTTTTTTTATTTTTTCTAAAAACTGTCAATCAATTAAGAGTTTAATAGGTAATCTTATTAATGGTTGAGGGGATTTTGAAAAATATAAGAAATTACAAGTTTTAATGGTTATCTTTATTAATGATATTAAGAGTTTTAATAGCTATCTTTATTAATAGAGGAGAGCCTCAGAGTTGGAAGACTGGAATTGAGAAGCTCGTAAACTTGCTCTTAAGGCTACCTATAGTGATTTACTTCTACTTCTTTTCCCCTCTTCCCTTGGATTTAGCTACCTATAAAATGTGGAGCTTAATTACTATATTTATTACGTAATTTAGACAAACATATGCATAATGGAATCCATTGATCAAACTTGTAAACTTATGACGTGAAACTTGTAAACTAAAATATAAATATGTAATACACACATTTACGTAGCTATAATATTATAGATATAGACAAAGTCTATTTTGTCTTTTTCTTTTTTGGATATTATTCTGTAAAATATAAATATGTAATGTACACATTTACGTGACTATAATATTATAGATATAGACGAAGTCTATTTTGTCTTTCTTCTTTTTTGGGTATTATTCTCTTGTACATACTTTTATAAATCATTTTCATAATACACACCAAAAAAAAAAAAAAACAATTTAGACTTCTACTAATTCATAAATATCCTCCTTTGTCAACCCTAATGGGATAGTGTGACAGTAAAAAGGATTTACTCATTTCCTTGAGTTCTTAGGTTTAAATCTTAAGATCACATATTACAATAACATTGTGCCTTATTTGGTCTTTTGGACTTTCCAGTGTTCTAATTATATTGTAAAATTAATTTACTAGGATTCCTTGTTTAATTTGAGGGAAAGCAAAAGAAAAGGAAACAAATTTTACATGATTCCATGCATGGTAGTGGATGTAACTTCAATATTATCTTAGTACTGGCCTTATGTAGAACTTTATTATTCTAAATTTGCATATCTTTTTTTAGTACAAAACTTTCAAATGATTGAAGAATCAGAACTTCATGCAAAGCCTAAAAATTGATAGATATGGTCTCAAATCTCACTTCCCTTTGAAGGATTCATATTCTTTATAGAAAAGGAATATAATAATATATGTTTGCTACTTGCTAGATTGTTCTTGTAAACAAGCTTTCTACCTTTTTTTTTTTTCCTCTGGTAGTAAAGGAGATGCATTTGGGATTTGGATATCCATAACAAACCCTTCATTCTCATGCCAAAGAAGTGCCAGTTAACTTCAAGAGATTGGTTTGACGGTCAAGAAGGTTTATTCTCTTTCTTGAGTTCCTATATTCAAACCTTAGGACTACCTACCACCAGTAGCGGATCCATGAATATTTTTTTAGGGTGGGCCAAAATAAAAACTAATTACATATGAATATTTTTGTTAGGGTGGGCCAAAATCAAAAAATTATATATAGTAGTATTTAAAAAAAAAAATTGAGGGTGGGCGGGCTGGATCCGCCCTTATCTACCACAATAACATTGTGACTTACTTGATCCTTTGGGCTGGTAGGGTGTTTAATGGATATCAGAGATTAGTTGAGATACGTACAAGCCAGCTCACACCCCACCTACCAAGAAAAAAAAAAGAAAAAAAAAGAAGAAGTGCCAGTTGCTTTCTCCAATATTTTCTTTTGTTGATTCTCAATCTCTAGTATATATTCCATTCCCTCAACAGTTATATATGAAAGTGATTAATGGGAATAAGATGAATTAATGAAGCAATTAATTGAGTCGATAGCAGTATCTGCAATTTACTTTTGGTTTTGGCCATGGCATGGACCGCTTTTGTGCTGAAAGTTCACTTACAAGTTACAAAGATAGTCATTACTAGGACATGCCAAGAAGGCATAACTTAAGTAATTAAATACCTATATAATTGTAAAGATATGTTACTTTTTCAGATTATAGAGATCTTGCAATTAGGCTTTTCCGTAGTTAGGCAATAGTAATACAAGATTTGGGGCATATTTAGTATTCTTTGAGGATGCTTTTAGAATAAATTAAGCTGTGGGCTGTAGCTAACTAGGGAATGTGGGCTAGATTTTATTCAGGTGCCTAATTCCAAAGACATTAATTTAAAATATATGTTTTGTTATATTATTATAATAAGAGTAAACGACATATTCCCACCCAAGGTTTGATGAAATNTTTTTTTTTTTCCCTCTGGTAGTAAAGGAGATGCATTTGGGATTTGGATATCCATAACAAACCCTTCATTCTCATGCCAAAGAAGCGTCAGTTAACTCTAAGGGATTGATTTGACGGTCAAGGAGTTCTTGAGTTCTTATATTCAAACCTTAGGACCACTTACCACAATAATATTGTAACTTACTTGGTCCTTTGGGCTGGTAGGATGCTTAATGGATCTCAGGGATTAGTTAAGATACGTATAAACTGACTCACACCGGAGTTACCAAAAAAAAAGTGCCAGTTGCTTTCTCCAATATTTTCTTTTGTTGATTCTCAATCTCTTAGTATATATTCCATTCCCTCAACAGTTATATATGAAAGTAATTAATCGGAATAAGATGAATTAATGAATCAATTAATTGAGTAGATAGCAGTGTAATTTACTTTTGAGTAGTACTACATGTACAAAGATTTTGTGTTCACTCTTCCATTAATTTCTTGTCACATTGCTTTGTACAAAACTTTTTGTAAGATTTCTTTGTACATCTAGCATTATTGTTTTCTTTTGGTTTTGGTCATGGCATGGATCGCTTTTGTGTTGAAAGTTCACTTACAAGTTACAAAGATAGTCATTACTAGGACATGCCAAGAAGGCATAATTTAATCCCAATTTAGTAATTAAATACCTATATAATTGTAAAGATATGTTACTTTTTCAGATTATAGAGATCTTGTAATTAGGCTTTTCCGTAGTTAGGCAATAGTAATACAAGATTTGGGGCATATTTAGTATTCTTTGTCTTTGAGGATGCTTTTAGAATAAATCAAGCTGTAGGCTGTAGCTAACTAGGGAATGTGGGCTGGATTTTATTCAGGTGCCTAATTCCAAAGACATTAATTTAAAATATATGTTTTGTTATACATTATTACTATTATAATAATTATGTCTATTATATATCCAACATGCATATCATTATATGCTTTAAGTCAATGGATGCGTATCATTTCCTAATCTTAACAAACCGATCAACCTTGACATCATTTTTATATAAAAGGCCGTCTGGATCAAGCTAAAATAAGGTAACAGGTAATGTTAGCTTATATGGTAAGATTCATGTGTTTGATTTATAAGTAATAAAATATTATGATAATCTTTTATTATAAATAGTATTTACTGTTGGTAATGTGGGGGGGTAATCTTATTATCTTGCTAGGGGGTGTTATTAAAACATTATTAAGATAATCTGATTTTTCTACCCATTTTATCCTTAATTAAAAACCATTTCGGATATAATTACCCTCAAATATCTACCAAATAACAATTATTCCAGCCCCCTTACATTTGAGAAATTAGCTAAGACACCTCAGCCACAAAAAGTTTAAAAGTTAACAAAATATCCCTAGCCACTCAAGACTATCGTTGACTGTGACTTACCACCGTCGGCCATCGGTGTCAGTCGTTGTAATAGTGCACGACCAGCGGGATCTGACCGGTCGTGCAACTGTAAGGCCTTTTTTGGCCATAGACCACAGATCCATGGTCGGAAACTGCTAGATCTGGTGTTTCTATGGCCGTTTTATGGCTAAAGATGTAGCCGTGAAATAACCATAGATTTGATCATTTTTTGGCCATGGGTTTGTGATCCATGACCATTTTCAGCTTTGTCGGCTAGTCGTACACTATTCCATCGATTGCTCGTGGCGGCCAGTCGTGGTGGTTTGTTGCCGGTGGTGGCTTGGGGGTGGATGGGGGTGATTTTGCTATAAATTAAAGTTTTATATGGTTTGGGTGTTTTAGCAAAATTTCAAATATAGGGGGTTAAAAGAATGATTAAAAAAATAATAATAAAAAATACTATTATATTAATATTTAAAAAGAATGACAATTTATTAATCTATATAACATACTCACCTATTTATTCTCTCAACAAAACATATTATTCACTAATTTATTCGAATCAACGAAACATATTCTATAAACATTCTCAATAATTTTCAAGATGATATTTCTTTCCATTAATATAATATACCTCTATAATAAAATATTATATGATTTAAATACCCAAAAAAAGTTAATTATTTTCCACCTTTGAGGTTTGGTGTCAAATGTTCTGCCCGCGCCCGCCCGGCTGCCACGCCGCAGGAAAGGAAAGCTGAAGACAGCACAGAATAGAGATTTTCAGGAACAAAAGATGGTTTTTCACCGGAACTTCTCCACTCAATTATCGTTATCGCCCACTTTTGAGAAACTAACGTTGACACCCTCAAATATATTTTATGTACTTATGTTAAATGAAACGGTACAAATAATAGAAAAAAAACCATTTTAAATAAATGATTGGAGGTTTTGATTAAACTGACTAACCAGTTTTTTATTCAATTCAAGAATTGTAATAATAACAACCTGACCGCTCGTGGTTGCTTGTTTACATAATTGTAACTAATAAAGAAATTGGTGTGCGGGG